TTCCTCACTCCCCGCCCCGTCCCCGTGAGAAGAGGGAGCGGGGACGCACGCTCTCCTGCCCCCGCTCTCCCTCGGTCTCCGTCGCCCCCGGTACAGCGCGACCTGCTGCTGCCCAAAATGGCGCTGCCCTACGGGGAGGCCGGGGCCGCCGCCTCCCCGCCCGCCTCCCTCCCTGTCCGCTTCGGCCGAGAGCTGAAGTCGTTTCAGGGGCCAGACGCGTCCCCTGGTTCCTCCCGCTTGTCCCAGCTCAGTTCCGTTTCCACAAGGACACCGAGCTGCCGCGGAGAAAGCGGCACCGAGGGCGCAGAGGGCCAGCGCCGCGCTGGTCCGCGCCCGCGGCAGAGGCCGGGCGGCCGGGTGCCGCTGGCAGAGGGCACGGGCCTGGGGCGCGCCCTGCTCCCGCTGGCTTTCTCCTTAGCTTGGTTCAGGGGAGTTGGGTGCGGAACAGGTCTTTTGTTAACGAGGGCAGTGAGAACCCTAAAGGTTATTCTCACTTGTAGTAGTGATGAGTAACTCAAGAAACTGCTTCCCCCCTTGCCTTGGCGTTCCCGACTCTGGGGCATCCTCCGGATTCTGCAGCAGGTGCCGATGCTCTCCGCTGCTTGCGATCTCAAAACTTGAGAGCTGCCCTCTCTGCGTGTCCTCACGGTAGCTACAATCCTCCTCCATCTCACAGTTACCTGTTGGGAACCATCTTTGCTTTTGGAACGCGATTGTTTCGTTCTATGGAGCTTATTTTCCTGAAGAAAATGCCTTAAAATTAAGGGGGGTAAGAAAATACTTTCTAGCCTTCTATGTGGAGGACGTTGCTTCTAATGTGGATGGATAATTTATCCACAGTGGCAGAAAATCCTAACACGCCCTGGAGGGAAGGCGTGGGCGCTCTCGGCTGCGTTTTGGCCCTGCTTAGGGTATCGGTGTTTCCTACCACCGGGTTATCTCAGTCTGAGCCCCGGGTAGTGCCCAGCCTCGCCTGCTTGCTGCGTCAGTCGGCAGCACTTTTCAGAGACGAATCCTTTTGCAGCTTCCTCTGATGGCCTTTGTGGAAGCGCCTGTTACGAGGCACAGCCAGCCCTTGTCGGAAGGGTTGTGCTCCCTCCCGCTGGATTTGCCGTGGATGAAAATTAATCACATGGTTAATTTTTCACAATAAAAATGCCCAAATTTTAAGTTTAAACCAATTTACTTTAGCAGGATCATCTGTGGACACTTTAATTCTGGAATGACTTAATAAACTTATGTAAGAACATCCACTCAGGTATTTTTCATTGGCATAATTAAATTGATTAAAAAATAATTTAGCCTAAGTTCAGCTTCCTTATAGAGACAGGGCAGGTTTTTACCTGCAAACAGTATCTCCTTGTCCAGATTGAGACTATTTTGCTGCTCTGAGTGTATGACAGTGTTTTAGCAGTTATTACTGAGCTTGGCTAAGACCTACATTTTCTATTCAGTGAGCCCGATGATTCCCTCTGCTCAGATCTGTAATTATTTCCTTTATTCTTCTCTTTAATTATGTTCCCAGAACACTGCGGTAATGCACTGTAGGGTATATTTTACACATGTATATAGATCGGAATGTATGTTATTTTTCAAAGTTTGCTCCATAAATCTTTTTAGGTGCATTTCTGCTCAAAAGTGCAATTTCATTCTGAAGATCGTAGGGGGTCACTAACATTTCAGGAGAGTTAGACTAATTAGCATCCCGAATTAAATGACTTATGGCAAGCTATCAGTGCAGTTGCCTTATTAGATGTCATGGCTGGACTATGTCAGGAAAATTTGCTTTAAAGAGAAGAGTTGTGTTATTTAACATTAGAAACATTTCCGAGGGAGAGGAGTAGGACTTCTGCAATCAGCAGCCATGTCATGTGCTAAATGACTATTTTAATATGTAAGCCTGTTTACCTGCTCAGACTCCCACAGTTGCATTCAGCACTGGTATAAGCATTGACTCTGGTGGAGTTACACCCACTCGTGCCAGCAGTGAATTTGGCCCAGAGACCCTATTCGAGTGCCATCAAAACACTAATACCGAAGCCAAGCTTTTGTGGATTACGTTTTTAAAAATATCACCCTAGATTAATTTCTTTCTTCCAAAGGTGTTGTAGTTTACTGTGGAGCCTAAGTGACTTGATTAAAAGTCTAATTTGAATTTTTATCTAAATCATATTGAACATGCTACCCTCCAGCATAGTTCTTACGTTTGATTATCTGCAAATCATTTTTGATCAAATTGTATTTGATACATGCTTAAAATTAACTTTTCTGCCTCCCCCCCCCAGGTAGAAACTGTAGCTTTTTGCAGGAAATGGATGTCATCCAGAAACGGGATGAAAACTGTTACTGCTATCTGCAGAACAGAACCATTCACTTACAGTACATTTGGTCGACTCTTCAGGTAAGAGGCCGTTTTGGGGATCGTTCAGACATGCAACACATTTCACGGGAACTTCTGCCAGCAAAGCGTATGATCAATTAACAAGATCAAAGCACTATCGCTGTGTAATTCGTAGTTTGCATGGTGCATAGGTAGGGCCATGACAAAAATGCAGCATTGTGATCCTCCACTTCAGATGCAGTGAGGTTCGGCCTCTCTTTGTTAGAAGGATGTCAACCAGGCTTATAGTACGATGCCACACAAACATCAGCCTAGCGTTGCATATTACTTTGTTGCACACCTTTTCTACTGATGGACCACTGTTAACCTCTGCCACAAATGTTTTTGCTTATCACCAAATGCCTTTATAAAACTTTTAAACTTGAGGATAAAATGCAGTTCCATGACTCACTCGTTGTAGCATACCGGGCCACGGTATAGGAACCAAAGGTGTACTAGATTGTGACTAATGAAAAAAAGAGCAGTAGCAGTGCATTTCTGTTTTTCTGAGTAACAGGTGGTCATCTTACAAGAAGCATGTTTAGAGATTAGCTCAAAACAATATAAAAATCTCTTAATAGTGGAAGCAATAATAGCTAAAGGAACAAGCTGACTATCTGTGTGGTTCCTTTTTTTTCCTGGGAAGTATGTTTCTAGACAAGGGAAGGAAACCGCTTCACTTCATCTCTGTTGGAGGAATTTGCTCTCAGAAGTGGAACATCTCTTTGGCTGTTCCCAGGACTATTTTCCTCAGGAACATGCTGCAGATGTTTCTGTGAATGGTAGCAGACTTCAGGTGGTGAAAGCCTCCAGCAGGCTTTCCTGGAGTAAATGTTTAAAAGCAGGAAGTTCAGTTTTCTTCCCCAACAAATTGCTTGCTGACATGTTGTCTCTTCTCCCAGTAGAAGCCTGTTTTATTACCTGTTGCATCACTCTTTCGTAGATGGGTCTTTGTTGTCTAACATGCCTTGATCGAGAGCTCACAATGAATCACAGTCTTCAGGAAGATCATCCCATCTCAGAAGATCGACAAGATCTTTTACCAGTTTGGTGGGAGAGGGTGCTAGGAACTAGCGAGAACCCCAAAAATACCCAACAGGAATGTGCTTATATTTAAATTTCTGGTTATGTTATCTTTCATTTTCCGTATCCCTCTTCTGTCCCTAACCTGAAGATTGCAGTATTAACTACAAGAAAAGCAAGTCCAATTTCTTACGGTTCAGGAGGGGAATGGGGAAGCGTATGAACATCCACAAAAGAAACTGTGGTCAGTCAAATAGTACTGGTTGTGTTAGAAATTTGTGTGTGGGCAAGTGTCATGGTAAAACCAAACCCACCGAGCTTTTGGATGGATTGAGAGGCCCCTCCATAGAACTTTGCTGACGTTGAGTTCTCTGAATCACCTTGTAAGGCCTAAACCGTTAAATCTTTGCATAATGTTAATAACCAATATGAAACAACTAAGAATTGCACTAGCATTTTATTCTCGAGATCTCTATACTGATTCTCATTATCACATGCATGGCTTATATGCTATATAGTTCAGAAAAACAAAAAAGCCCAGTGATTCTGAGCTACTTCTCTGTGTATTCTGTTGTTTGTTTTTAGGTAAAAGTTAACAGCAGCGAAGTGTTCAGGTTTGAGCCTATTTCAGAAAAAAGCAACTGTCGTAATTCAGAAACTGTTTTTGAGTTTGCTGCATGTGCTATTCAAATCTTCTGGAAACCAGAGACATCTACAGAAACTTTCATAAGCATAAAACAATATGGAGAGGATATTTGTTTCAAAATACAGCCCTTCAAAACAGAATCGTACACTGTGAGTGTGAAACGAGAAAGTAAGTAAAGCTTTCAGTTTAGATTACAGATAGATTGGTATTGCCAGTGTTACTGAATGTACCATCTCTTCTGTAAGAAGCTTGGGACTTTTCTGTTGATATTTTATATCATCAGCATTTCAGACTGAATTAGTCTAAAGTACATTTCTATTTTTTTCCCCCTTTTTTTAGTGCTAGATGGAAAACTCTTGTTTTTGTTTGTAGCGGGAATTTTTCTGTTCCATTTTGCAAACAGCCTGAGCAGGTGAGTACTAGCTGCTGGTTTTTGACCTTCTTTCCCAAAGCCTGTGCATCTTTGGTCTGTTTTCTGAGCTAAAGAGGCAGTTCTTTGGGAAGTGAAATAAGGAAACTGAACATATATTTAAAACTTCTTCATACCATTTGTGTTTGAACAGATTGTGACATAGGTTAACGGTTGGACTGGATGATCTTAAAGGTCTTTTCCAACCTAAATGATTCTATGATTCTCTATCTTGGAGTGCTGCACTCTTATTAATCACTGAGCTGTGGTAGGGTTCTTGTACTCAAGCTTCCAGCGCTGGCCGACACCAAGACAATCCTCAACCAGCAAGTGTGTGGATGCAGAAAAATTCTCTCTCCCTTTTGTAGACCATTGAGGCTAGCTGAATGCTAAATAGTGCTGCATGTATTATAAACGATGCCTTCCTGCAGCGAGAAATGCTTAGGATGAGGCCATCTAGGGCCTCGTCTGCCTCCACCTTTGTGCCAGCCTTTCCCCATCGTTCTTTGGGGCACGTTTTGCATAGCATGTAAGGGAGGATACTTCTTGTTAGAGCAAAACTTCAAAGCAAAATGAGTCACATTAATTGTCAGGAGGCACCTCTAAAACAAGCAAAGCAGCAATAGGTTTTATAGAGTTAAGTCTGAATTAGAAAGTCAGACTTTATAAATGCATAAGCTTAGAAAAAAAACTTGTGGGTTTGTGGAGGGGTTTTTTACATTTTAAATGAAAAAAAATAAAACTTTTCTTGCCGTACAGAACCATATTGGTACATAGAAGAAAATGAAATTACTAAAACTAGAAGGTCAATGAAATCAGAACTAGTGTGAGCTTTAAAAAAAAAAACAATGCAATCTCCTAGCCTGTAACAACTCCAGTGACCTTAAGTATCTGTTGGGAATTTTTTCTTACATGGATTTAATATCCAAACTGGGCCTGTTAACGATGTAATTACAACCCTAACTTACAGTTGTGTTAAGTTCTTATTGAAGATCACTGCTGTTTTTACAAATGTTGGCATCTTAACCCATTACAAATTATACTTCTCACCGTATTCTCTCTTGTTTTCTTACAGGAGTACCAAGTTCTTTTACCTTTCTGGAATAATACTGGGTGTTCTGGCTCTGCTAGTCTTTGTCCTGTTGACACTTAAAAGGTTTATTCCAAGGGTAAATCTACATTTGTAAGACAAAATAATGAGAATCATCAACATCATAATATAGGAAGTGAAGAGTACAGAGCCAGATTCTGATCTTGCTCTGTGTTTGTGGCTAGGTAACGCCACTGAAATGACTGCAGGATTGCTTGCGTCAAATAAATATAATTAGGTCAGAATCAAGTTCGAGTTAGCTTGCTTCTGAGTTTAAAGTGAACAGGAGATTGTTGATGTACAAGAAGAGTTTATTCTGAAACATAAATTATTTTTATTGGACTGGAGCTAAGCTTACTTTTGAATCTATGAATCAATCTAAATCAAAATGTAGTTTTAGTGGCAACTGGGACAGATTCTCTTCCGTTCACCAGAGACAATTAATTGCAAGGCAGATGTGAATTTTTCCTTTACTTTTATAAAGTCCATGCATTCCCACAATATTACTGAGATATGTTAATTGGAAATACACTGCAGTAGGCTATGCTGTGACATTTGGACATGATAGACAAATACAGAGATGCGGTCGCTCCACTTAGAATTGACATTGTTTAGTTGTAGCGTGCAGAGCACTATGCAGTGGAAGTCTAACGCAGATCATAAGCCCTGTAGGTCTACTGAATATCACATCTGGTTTTGCCTGTGAGTTGCCTTGCACACAATGGTCCTGATTCTGACTTGAAATTTTTTTATTTTTTATTTATTTATTTATTTATTTATTTATTTAAAATTTCCAGCACAGTACCTTCTGGATCTTAATGAGTGGTTGCTGGATGTCCTCTCTCTATTTTATTTACTGCTTCAAAGAGAATATGCAGTGGTTGTGGTCTGAACACAGATACTACTTGTTGGGTAAGAAAATTATCAAAAAATGTGCTGCAGATTTTGGTTTAATTTAGTGGTTAGATGAGTACCTGCCCATAAAAAAACAAAATCAAGTGACTCCAATTTATGGAGTACTTTTTTCTCCTAAGCCACAGACGTTGGAATATTCCAAAGGTTCCTAATCCATTCAAATGAGCATTTACTCACATTGTATCATTAAATAAGGAGTTTGATACAGTGGGCCAGTAGCAGCTTTAAGAGCAGATTTTGCCTGTATTATTTGTTCATTGATTTGCCATTACATACTTCCTGTAACAGCAAGAGGGCAGCTACACTGGTCTGTATTTTGCTGGATCTGGGAACTGGATGCCCGAGTTGCTAACTGGGTATGGCTACAGGGGCTGACAAATCTATTGATCTGGCACCTGCCTCGACATTCTCGCATGGAGAGAATTCATGTGCTCATAGCATCAGCTAAAGGCTGTGCACAGATCACCTCGTGAAGTCTTTGCACACTTTTGAAGTATAAACCACACGCAACATAATGCAGGTAATCTGGAAGACAACACAAGAAACAGCAGGCTATACTTCACAGCAGTTGCAAGCTTTGTGAACCAAACTAATAAGATTTATATGGGTAGTTGGCATCTTTTTCTCCATGTCCTCCTTTTCTGTTTCTACAGGGTATTTTCTGGCTGTTGGAATTACCAGCTTTGCCACTTGCTATCAGCATGGACCGCTTACCACTGAACTGAGCATAACCTTGTTCACGTGGACACTACAGTTAACAGCCTTTGTCTTGATTTATTGTGGTGTCACCATACCTCAGGTTGCGTATGCAGTAATAGCAGTCAGCCTCTGTTCAAAAGGCCTGTGTTACCCCCTTGGTGCTGCTTGTCACATAGGCAGGTTTGTATCTATTTGTGAATGTCCAAGTCCCTGTGTCACCAGCAAATACTGGAGGCTGATAATGAAAAAACCCTTACACTTCAATAATGATTTATGGATTTCTAATACTAGTTCATATTTCTACGAGATGTAAAGCTGCAATAGAACAGGTTTAAATCCCTGAGATACAGGAATTTAATTATTTTCCATTTGGCAGTTTTAAGCACAAGTTTTGTTCTATGGAGAACAGAGAAATCTGGCTGTGCTCGTAAGTACAAATGTAGCACCTTTTCGTCTGAAGCACATGGTAACCAAAACATTTCTGTTTGGTTGACTGATTAGACTGCAGCAACACTGCCTTGGTTTCATGTCTAGTGAGAGAATCTGCAGGTAACTTGCACTGAGTCTTATGGGATAAAACAGTGTACCATCACCTAAGAAGCAGATGTTAAAAGTGACAGTCCTTGTAGGTTAGTGTAGAGTTCAGAGACTAAAAACCCACGTCCACAAAAATAATAGTTTCCATTGATTTTAGTTTTCCAAGGTTATTATCCTAGATGTACTTGTCTACATTCAATTCGTGGAAACAATCTGTTATCGCTGTGGAGACATTCCCCCGTATTCCCAGAGCCCCATTTATATTGTGGCATTTGGAATGGGAACTGCTTGCAATACGTAGACCTTAGTTTGCTAAGTATTTTCATTAGCAATATGGGAACAACATGTTTGCTCATCCTTGAATTTGAAGTGTGTCTTACCACAAATACAACACTCAAATGAAGATTTTAAAAATCCTGCCAATTTACATCTGTTTTTTACCTTCAGTGATGGCATCCAGATTAAGAGACTTTAGTGCAGACTGTTCCGTAGCTGTGGACTTCTGCTGAACTGCAGAGAACCAGGAAGAGGCAAAGGCTAGAACTGGCATAACCAAAATAAAAACCAAATAATTTCTTTTTTAGTCTTTTACACATTGTTTAGTTTGGAAGAACGTATTGCTTTGCTCTTGTGCTCTTTATAAATGTTAAAGTGTGGACAGGGTTGAAGCTTTTTTTTATTTTAGGTAGAATTTATCATTTGTTGAAGACTGATTTTTGCCTGCAGCTGAGAAGCACCTACAGTTTCAAAAGCAACATACAGGATCAATACTTACCTGATGTAAGCAGGTTCAGCTCTGAAATCAGTAAGATTTGGCTACGAGTTCACAGAAGTCAGAACACACCTGTTTTACCTAAAACACTGTTCTCCATGTGGACCTCTTTTTCGTTTTCAGGAACCGATGCTTCTATAAAGTGAAAAAGCACTGAAATATAGCTTTACAAATTTCTCTTAGGAGAATGATAAGGGGTTTTTTTGTTTCAAAACACTAAGCAGTAGCATGAAACTGTGAGGCCATGATGCCAGATACACAGTTCAGAGCAGCAGATATATCAAAATAACTACGAATCTTACATTATTTGTTGTTAAGATCAGTACTGATCCCCCTGAGCCAGCAAGAGCTTTACCATTTGACCTGAATAAGGGCTCCAGTTCATTGCTTCTTTACAGGGAAATAAGGAGGAAAGTGAATGCTGCTGGTTGGAGCAGGTGTTTTTATGCAGAGCTGAAAGTTTTATGGGCATCCAGCCCTTGCTTATCTTAACTCATCACAACATTTAAATTGAAAGCAGTCGACAGAAGGGAACAGAACATGGCACACTTTCTAATTGATATCTAATTATATTATACATTGCTACGCAGCAGCTAAAAAAACATCAGATTGTAAACATTTTGGCCTCAGACTACTCAGTTTTGTAATTTAAAGCAAGATTTAAGAGAAGCGATCTAGTAAACAACATGAACAACTCATAACAGACTTAGAGCATTGCTTATCTTCAAAGTTACATATGCAGACTGGGTTTTGATTCAGCCCATGTCTCTGCACAGACACATTTTGCATATTGCACCTAAAAATGGCTGAGCAAGCAGCCATCTATTTAATTCTATGAGATTTCAGTCCATGCATACACAATAGGGACCTGATCCAAAGCTCATTTGAAACTCATTAGATATCATTCTGGAATTCTGCAGCTTTGGTTAAGACCTAGGGTAAACAGGGTAACCAACATTAGACACCTCGTCCTAAAATTTTAATGCAAGAATGTAGCTTGTCCTCTCAAAAGCATAAAAGTGATTAATGTACGTTAATAGCAGGTAGTAGAGAAAAAGGATGACGATAACTGTGTGCCAGAAGACTTTAGAAATACTGATTGTTTTCATTTCATTCTAGAAAAATGAAGAACCACTTCAAATCAAAAAAGTTAGTGTTTAAATGCCTTACTGAAGAGGAATATCGAGAACAAGGTGAAACAGAAACTATCAGAGCTCTGGAGGAGCTACGCTCATTCTGCAGGAACCCTGATTTCCCATCATGGTTAGCTGTATCCAGACTCCAGTCCCCACATAGGTAAGAAAATCTGGCCTCTCTAACACGGGAGATGCATCGTACAGACACTGTTACACAGCAGACCCAAATGCTACTTCAGGCGCTGTTCCAGGTGCATTCATCTTGCATGCAGTCAGATCTGCAGGTAGCTTTATCTACTTGAGTAATCCCACTGAAGATCACAGCCACACCTCTCAAGGATATTACTTGCTGGTGGTATTAAACCCCATTTGTTCCTCTCCAACCATAAGTTATTCTGAGAGTTTGCAGACGTTCACAGCTAATTCATGGTAATGGCAGCTTTCCTGAAAACGTACAGGCTTCCTACAGTGCCTCTGCAGGCTCCTACACTGACTCAGGTGGCCGTCTAACCAGTGAAATGTCCCTTTCTTCAGTTTTTAGAGCAGTACACTTTTGCATTGTGTAAAACTGGGGCAGGCTGAAGATACATGCTCAAATATTACCCGCATTAAGCTCTCCAACTGCAAGCCTGCACAGCCAAGAAATCCTATTACATGAAGTATCAGCCAATATCTAAGACTAAGAATACAGAGAAAAAAAATCAGTGCCTGCACCTAGGAAGTATAACAGGTAGAAGAGCTGCTCCAGATATAGCTTGAGACAAACTTACGACAAATATGGGTTAGGAAGGGAAGGGTCAGATAAATGCAGCCAGAAAATATTGCAGAATATAGTATTAATTATAATAGTATATTTCTGTCAAAACCAAAACTTTTAAGATATCAGAAGCAGAGTTCCACATATTACCTAGCCACGAAGACTTGGCCCTTGCCACAGAACCAAGTATTGCAATTTCAAAGGAGCCCCAGTCAGCTTGGAATTTAATCAATGAAATGTTAAAACTAGTTTCAGAACCTTCATCTTCCTTGGATGGGCACACAGACAGCCTCTCTGCCAGGTTTTATAGATTTACTGTTAAACTATCTTATTTTCTAAGATACTTGCATTCTATAGCATGATTGAAAGTTATAAAAAATGAAAACTCACTGCAGTATTGCAAAACAAAATACTCCCAAATGCGCAAAACAAGCAATTGAGACACATGTATTTTCTAGCCATCACTTAGTTAATATAGCTCTTACAAATTGTTCACTATAAAAACACAAAAATAAAAAGGAGAACCAACAGAAGTCTGACTTAAAGTTGAGTACCCCTTCAAACTTCCATTAAGCATCAGGAGATAGTTCACCACAAGGCAAACCTGTAAAACACAGCCAGTCCAACTCTGTTCCCCATTTAGACTAACAGTGCTTCCAAGAAGAGCGAGGTGACAACAGCCATCTCACAGAAATGTTAAGTCTAAAATGTAAATTATTGATCAGTTTACCAGAACTCCAGAATGTAGCTGCATTTCCTTTTTCTTACATTTCTCTGATGCTGTCGACACTTACCCAGGTGTCAGGACTGCCGTCTGTTTCCACATGCTTGCCAGAAACCTCGAGCTCCATTCTCTCTCTTCAATGTAGCTGTCCACTGAAAGTAAGATTTGTGGCAAATTGAAATGTAGGGACAGTGCTAAGTTCAGGCTTTGTTTTGCCAGACCTCCCGTTTGGCATTTACTTGGAACAGCTGCAGAATTCCCAGACTGCAGCTCCAAAGTTCACCAAAAGCAAGAATTCTTTGGCAAGACTTGAGCTCGGCTTGCCCAGAACGTGCATGCTGCACCAGAAGCAAGGTGATAGCACAGCAGTGTAGGAACGCAAAATCCTCTCCGTTTTTCCTTTCATTAGCAATGTCAACTTACCTGAATTCTTACAGCCTTTGTCTCAAATACGCTACAGCTTTAATTTATTTTTAGAAGCTAAAGTGCCGTCTATCCAACTGTACAAATGCTTACTCTGGATTACCCCACGAGTACTGACAAGATGTGAAAACGAAGTTCTATCTTTTTGCTTAGTCACAAGACCTTGCAGATGGCCTCCAGAAGAGCAAAAGTTACTTATATAGAAAAGGTTGAAGACTGAAGAGAAGATGAGGCAGGAAAACAAATCTTCAGAGTTGTTGCTGTCCGTTGCGATTTACTCTGTGTTGTTCAGGACTCCCTAGCTCATGCTGCAACTTCCCCTCATCTGCACTGCACGGTCCTTAAAACATCCCTGCTTAATTGGCAGCATCCCCTGCATGTACAGTATTTCTTCCATCTCTCAGCTGATCACTTCTCCCTTTAAAAATCTGGCAGGTTTGCAGGTTTTGTTCTGGGATCTCCCCACGTCTCGCCTGCAGAAACAAAGGCGCATGATGAGGAATACGGCATGGGGAGCTTCTTCATGGAAGAGCAGCTCTTTGACACAAGGGCAGAATCTGAGCAAGATGATCCAGCCAATTCCATCCATGAAGCAGATGAGGAGGATGAAGACGAAATGCATAAACAAATTCCATTTCCATATGCTACTGAATTGCTCTGAGCTTTGGGAAATAACCAAGAAAAGGAGAGAGGGAAAACACATTTGTCCTAGAAAGGAAGGATACAGACAGAACTTATTCTTGGTGATTTCTTATGGTTGCTGGTGGACAAACAAGGATTTTTGAAAAAACTGTTTCCTGTATCACTGATGTTGCCTGATTAGAGCAACAGAAGGAAACCACAGGGGCTGTTGAAGTGAAGAGGATTCTCATGCTATTGGTACGTTAACTGGGGAAGTAAATGTTGCTTATTTCCAAAGAAAGTACTGGCAGCAGCCTGTCCCACCAGGATGCCTTGTTTTTCCAAGGATACTACCTCTGGAGAACCGAGAATCTGTTTTGGCCCTTTTCATTGTCAAGTCCTCTGTGCTGAGCACTAGAGGGAGGAGAAGCCATTATTAATAGTCTAGTTTTACTAACCACCCTAGGTTTCAACAATTTTTATAATGCTGTTAGTGTGATGATAAACTATTTTTATTGTTGGTGAGACTTTTCAGTGCTAAAGATCAATAGGTAGTTAACGCAGTTGAACGAGGTTTTTTTGCTCTTCTGGCTAGGCTTTCTGTCCGTTAGCTTCATTTTGCCTCTCCACATTTAAGCTCCTCTTAGTCTTCAGAACCCTGCCTGACTTTTCACCTTCTGCTTGGATTTTTCTCTTCTTGGTCTCTGCTCTAGTTACTCTGCACTTTGTTCTTTCCATGTCTTTGTTTCTTCACATACTCTTCTTCCCTCTTCTACAGGTCCTTCTCTGCTGACCCTTTCCTCAGTCCTCTGTTTCTCCACCTCTGGCAACTGCAGATGATTTAGGAGAGGATTTCCGTCCCCAAATGTATTTTTACTATTGCTTTCGATTTCACTGTCACCTTACCTCAGGCGGGTAACTGCCCTCCATTCCAGGCCTCTCAACGGCCCAGAAAAGGCAACAAAGGCTGAGGCTGTTCCAGCTACTTGGAGGAACTCCTGTCAGCAGGGCCGGAGCGATGCTGTAACCATGTAATTGGGAATACAGATAACTCACATACAGCTCCACTGTCCTCAGAGTACTCAGTAGTTTGATCATTCAAGAAAAAGTGGAAAGTAATTCCTGGCAAAACAAGGAGGCAGGGATACCTGGCTCCTACCTCCCTTTCTTCAGCCCTCTTTGGGACTTAGCATAGGAGATGTGTGGGGAGGAAAAGAAAAGTGCAGGGAGAGAAATTTAGACAGTCAGATGTCTTTCAGCTTATGTATTACACAATCCTAGGCTAGGGAGTAGATCATGTCCGCTCAGTTCATCCACCTGCAGAGGTCATTTCCTTCTTCTGTTCTTTAGACTATCCCTATATTCTTCTATCCTCACCTTCCTGTTTTCCTTTATTGTCTCCAAACTGCAGAAAACAAAAGACCATTAATTCAGTCACCATCTGATCTTACAGACCCACCAGTGTGGGTGGTGGGAAGCAGTCAGCTTTCCAGAAGGGCATTTCAGACCAGGATATATTTGTTTTAAAAGGGATCTCTTTTCTTTGTAACGTGCCCAGTGATGCAGCACGACTTCAGCACTGCATGCACTATCGCGGTTTCTCGTTGTCCATCGCTGGACAAGGGAGAAAATCTGTTACCTCTAACAGTGCTAAGAAGTACTGCTGTACCACATTCCAAGAGCTCCTCTGTATAAAACAGGACTCAGCGTTGATGCTTCAAAGCCTTATTTATATGGTCCTTCCTCCTTTATATTGCTTCAACTTTGCTTCATTTTAAAAGGAACTCTTCCATTTTACAGTAGAGACACTTAACACCCTTTTGTGCCATAAATTTATAAATACATATGCAGAATCTATAGCATGTTTAGCAGAGAGAAACCCTGTCAAGCAGGTGATCTAAAATACACTCACTGGTAAGTCCACAGCATTCAAAAATAGAACAAGAGAGCTCCTGAACAGGAAGGCCACAACCAGTAAGAGTCACCTCTAAGGCAGGCTGCTACTACCAAATTCACAGCTAAATTGCCACCCACGCTCTGGAAGTCAGGCTTGGCTTGGGGGATTCTGTCACTAGCAAGAAGCTGGAAGCATTAGCTGTTGTGAAAACGGAGGTTTCATGGTTTGGGAGAAGGAAGGATGGAAACCCCTCTGAACAATTATCTTAGCAGACTGAAGATTTCTTACCTTTGCCTGTGTTGCCATCATGAAAATGAAGTACTCAACATGATTACAGATAAGTCAAAAAAGGATACTTGAAGAGATGTCTTAAATGTTTTTTGCATGTTTTAAAGCACACAAGATTTTTCAGTGTACTTTGTAGCTAGCTAAGAACTCCCATCCATGTGATTTGAGGCCAAGGGGGAAAATCAGATTTATCCTAGCTTAAACCCAGTTTTTCTGGATTTCCTCTCTTTACTGAGGTAGCAATGATTATCCTTCCATACATACATAATACATATTTATATACAACAGCCCAGATAATACATTAAAACAGTATTTTACATATGCAATATGCTAAATGGAAAAGCCCCCAAAAACCAGGCAATTACATTTTTCAGACAGTGTCCCTATTTCTAAATTATGTAGAACAATACCAGGTACACCTCCCACAAGGGAAAAAAAACACCAACCACCCTACGTTTGATAAACAAAACCCACCAAAACCAACTGCTGTCATTTGAGCCGTTTGCCAACAGTGAGTTTACTTGCACAGTGCTCCTGTGATATATGGAGATTACATAGGTTTACTGAAACAACTGTTAAGTACTGTCCAGTGTTCAGCCAGAAAATCTGGCAACAGAATCTAAATGTTAATCCATTGCCTTAACCATTATAAAAGCCTTTCTTCATTAACAAAGGATGAATTACGTTTATCTTCTATTCCATGGTGTTAAAAAAAAGTTAGAAATTCAATATTTATTTTGTATTCACGGTACAGCATACTCGATATACTATCTTGTACTTTCAAGATTTTTTTTTTTTAAATAAAAGTATTTTTCAACTATGTGGTTCTCCTCCTTTATGCATTTACTCTTTTTGGAACAGCAGGACATGTGACAATGAGGAGCCAAGCACATTGGTTGTGTTTATGTCCTGAGGTTTTCTCCCTGTTGCAGATCTAAGAAATGGTAACTGTGCATTAGCTGGGGTTGCTCCAAAACGGAGCGTCCCCTCTACCTCGAATGCATCTCCCTGAAGGAACCTGCCGTTCCCATTCTCCACTCATGACAGATCCAAACCACCACAAAGCCAAATTTGTAAGGTGACAAGCGAAGCCTGGCAGTTACACACATGCAAACAACAAAACAAAACTAAGATTTCTCCCTGTCATTGCTTTTGTATGCATACAAATTAAGTATTCAAAATAGTAAAAATTTAACTGTCGTACACCTAAGATGAAAATAAATTCCAGACAAATGTGCCACTGTATAGGGCAGGTGCAACAGTGCAAATATAATGAGAAGTAGAAATTGGAAGTATTTCTGTACGAGCCGATGTGACCTGCACTTAGCAGCCTCCATCTCAAAACTGCTAGGTGACAAATGTAATCCAATTTTGACTTTTACTCATGATGTCCTGCACTCTTCCATATCAACCTGTTTATGATGCACACTGGTGTGCATCCCTTACATCCTCTTTGCCCCACAAGGAAATCTGTGCCTACGGTCAGATTTTATCATGAAACAGATTTTAACACTGCGCAAGAGTAGTTCCCAGGCTCCAGGTTTGCTATCCTCCAAGGCACTGAACCTAGCAAAAGGTAATTATCATTGAATTATTTTCAATTCCAGTGATTATGTTCACTGCTGGCACCATAATATAAGCAAATGTAATAAAAGTTCAGATTGATACCGTTAAATACATTATGGATATTTTATATTTCTTACCACAGTTTTTACAGTTTCACAAATATCAAAACCCAGGTGTACATGTCCATTTTGCAACATAGAATGACCATACAATTCCAAAAAGAGCAGGCATTTCAAATACACAATTCTGAAGTGTAAACACAGTGTACAAGCTCTTCACCTCACAATCCAGGTGCTATGCAGTAGCAGCTGAGGTAACACCGTACAGCATGAACTCAACGAACGGTTGGTTTGCCTCAAGATGATTTTTAGCATCCTTCTGTCCTGTCACCTGTTCAGTCTTTAGTTCTCCCCCAAGTTATACAAACATACAATAAATAAATTTCTGATTTTAAAGGACACTTAGACAAGTCATGAGGATTTATGTGAGTACAGTACATTTAGGTTCAAGTGCAAAAAAAGTAACTAGTGGCTAGTCATTAATGTTTCTTTTTATTGTCTATGGTGTTGGTCCCAGGCACCACCAGAACATGGGTTGTTCTAAAAGCACAGCTATGGGACACCCCTTCAGTCAAGCTAAACAGATGTCAACGTGGGTAAACTGCACACCCCCTTTCCTGCTTAGCTGCTGCCATCTTCCTCTCCCCTAGCCCTGTGCTCCTGTTAATCTTGCCTCTGGATCGCTGTAGAGTCCCACAGCACGCATCTTCCCCATGGGAGGCCTGACACATCACATACCTCTGATTTCAAGGAGGGCTGCGTGACACTCACTCAGTCCCGCAGAAGCTGAGCGCTCAGAATCTCCCAGGAACAAGCTGTTAATACAAGCAAATGGGCCAAAATACTCTCCTGACTAACCCCCCCACACTCCTCCAAGAGCCCAAGGCTTTCCCTCCAGCAGCAATTGTCACTATGCTCCAGCAAGTGAGCTGGCTGCAGTTAATATTGAAAAGCATAACGAAACATAATCCAAAGTCTTCCAGTGTCTTGACACTGGGCAAAGTAATTTCCTAAACATACTGCAATTTAGTTACGTTTGCTTCCTCCTGAGAATCTCTCACTCTACTTGATTTCTGCATCAACAACTTTGTCCCTATAATCTTACTCATTAAGATTTTTAGGCGATTCCTCCCTACCCCCCCACCTTCCCTAGGCACTTAAAGCTTACTGTTTTCTTAATAAATAACCACAGTAACTACACTGCATTAAATAAACCGTTGTATAGATGAT